CCGCCGCCGCGCTGCCCCTTCCCGCCGCCGCGGGGGAGGAAGAGAGACAGAGAGAGAAAGAGACGGGACCGTCCGAGGCGGCGGCGGGCGGGAAGCGGCGCGGGGGAGGGGGCAGGAGCCCCGCGGGCCCCCTGCGCTGCCTGCGCTGCCGCCGGGCCCCCCTCGCCCCCCTCGCCGGTCCTTACCACGGGGTTTGTGTTAGCCGAGCTCGCCATGTCCCGAGCCCCCCGGGACGCCCCCAACCGCGGCGGGGGGAGTCGCCCCTAAAACAATAAACCTGCCCGGCTGCGTCTCCCCCCAGAACCGCGCGCCTCCCGCCCCGGCTCACGGGCAGCCCCGCGGCCTGGCCCGGCCTCGCTCGCCGGCCCTGGGGCTGCAGCCGCCGCCGCCAGCCGCCCGCTCTGCCCGCGTCGCCCCTTTATATAGCGAGAGCCGAGCAGCTGCGCGAGCGGCCAGGGCGAGCGGGGGACGCGGGCGGGGGGGGCAGCAGGCACCGCGAGAGCCTGCGCGAGAGCGCGCCGCGCCGCCCGCGTCACGTGGCGCGCCCGCCCCGCCGCCATGACACCTACCGAGGCGGAAGAGCCCGCCCGCGGAGGGGCACCGCGACGCCTTCCCGATGGCGCCGCGCGTACCGAGGCGGAAGTCCCTGCGAGGTGCCGCCCACCCCCGCCGCGTGACGTTGCCGCGCCGCGCGCTGTGGCAGGGCGGGCTTCGCGGCGCCGTGAGGCGGCCGTTAACCGCCGCCCGGGCTCCCTGCCGATGGCGGCCCAGCAGCCCCGGCAGCCGGGCCCCGCGGGCAGAAGCCCCTCCGTTTGTCGCAGCAGTCTGCGCCCTGGGCACTGGCAGAAACCCTCAGCCTAGCGCTTGGGGCCAGAAACGGCCCTCCCTGCCCCGCCAAGGACACGTCCTGAGCCCAGCAGCCCCTGTGGGTGCTAGTGCTCAGGGCCACAGCCGGTTAAAGGAAGGACCCCTAGGCCTAGGGCCTGGTTCTGGTAGCTGCAGGCCTCAGAGTGCTTCCCAGCCCCGGGACACCCTTAAAGCTGGTGGTAGGAAAAGCCTAGGCTCCACCAAGGAAACGGGCACCGTTCTCCRTCAAGGACCCACAAACCATCTTGAGATGGCAGAAGTGCTTCCTTTGGCGGAGCGTGGCAGAGCCAGTGGCTCCAGAATCTCCCAACTGCCCGAGGAGCTGCCAGAGCCAATTCCATTGGCATACCTCCCCCATTCCCATGCTGCACTGCCTCTTCTTCCCGTCTTTATTGCCCCTTCTCCCTGGCAATCTCCAGGATATAAAATACAGGAAAATCCTGACAGCTGTGAATGTTATTAAACCAGAGTTAGGTCCACCACTGCCATCTTCACTCAATCTTTCTTTGTGCAGATTTTGAACCCAGCTCATTCCATAGATGATGAGCGATGTAAACCCACTCAAACATAAAGTAATGCTAAATTCTGGCTTCACATCAGAGCACAGCACGTTAAACTTCTGAATAAAGACTGACACAGTCTAAATCTGCTACGTTACCTTCAACGTAAGGTCTATTCAGTAAGTATCAAGTCAGAGAACTTCTGTCTGGTGTCCTTGGATAGGCAGGAACGTATTGGCCATACAAATACCTTCCCCTCTCCTCCTGTCCTTCTAAATCCTTCAGCTCTGCATTAAGGAATGCCTCCTCTCCTGTCCAAAATGCATAGGGACGTCTGTATAGGGACATGACTGATGTACAGTGGGCCARCGGATGAACCCGCTCCTCACTGTGTTTTCTGTTGGGGCCCGGGCAGAAAAATAGCCTGGACCTGAGTGCTAGCAGAGTTGGGGAAGTTTTATCTTACTCTGCTGTCTGTTCCGCCTTTTTGCTGGGCCTTTCCAGTCCCACAGCTGAAGTAACAGGATTCAAGAGATTCTACTTCCTCAGCAACCATAGTTTGTGACTTAACATTAGCTAAACCATGAATGAACTATAAGGACCAAAATAGCATTGCTTTAATACCTCCTATCAARAATGGTGTTTCACAAACAGTTCATAAATTGGGCTGGTAAATTGTGCGTTTTTCATAACCGAAGTAACTACCCAACAGTTACGGCAGACCTGAAGATGAGGTTTCAGTGAAGCRACATTTATTTCCTCACAGCTGGGACAGGCTACGTTCACATGCAGCTCATGCTGCTGAAGCCCTTGGCAGCGACGGCCGTGCCCCCAGCAGTGAATCACACTGCCATTCGTAGCCTTTCTCTTTCCAGGATCAGGCACTGGGAAGCTATGCTTCCCTTCCCTGGATAGGCCCTAACTCAGCCTGGTTTTGAGCGTGGCTCTGAGGTACTCAAAAATTCCCAGTGAGCAGCACTGGTTCAGTGAGGTGTCAAACTCCTTTTGGAGCAGGTACGTAGCTGAGGAGACTATGCTCCAAGATTAGACCTGAGATAGGGCTTAGCCCTGCCACAGTTTCCCAGGCACCAGTGATATCAAGGGTATATCTGCTAACTCCAGAGTACCTGTAAAAATGTTGCTCTATTCAAAATCAAGGCCTCATATAATACGTATAAGTACATGAAGGGGAAATGTAGGGAGGAAGGGGCCAAGCTCTTCTCAGTGGTGGCCAGTGACAGGACAAGGGGTAATAATGTGTGTAAGTTGCAACACAGGCAGTTCCATCTCCACATGAGGAGGAGCTTCTTTACTGTGAGGGTGACAGAGCCCTGGCACAGGCTGCCCAGGGAGGTTGTGGAGTCTCCTTCTCTAGACGTCTTCAAAACCCACCTGGATGCCACCCTGTGCCCCGTGCTCTGGGTGTCCCTGCTGGAGCAGGGGGGTCRGACTAGGTGATCTCCAGAGGTCCCTTCCAAGCCCAAGCGTTCTGTGAGTCTGTGAGTCTGTGATAAGAAATGCCCTAGAAATGCCCTACCCAGTCAGGCAGCACTCCAGCTAATTCAGTGGCAATAAGATTTGCCACTTAGGGAGAACGGGGCAGTTTCTGAGGTCTGTTCACCTCTGTGYTTCCCCAGTAGCCACAGCAGTCCCGTCTCGCTCATGGAGAAGGATTCTTTTTCATTTGGCACTTCTCTTCGGATTATAACAACTCCGACTATAATAAACTGGATGCATAAACTTATAGAGAGCATAATCACCAAAATTAACTGTGTTTATCCACTAGCATTTGGTTTTGTTTGCCAGTTGGGAGCAGATCATATTAAGTTTGTATGTTATCCCGTCTCCTTTCTCCCAAAGGTTTCTGTCCTTGCCAGATCAGCCTGATTTTGCCAAATTTAGTAGTAGCACAAGTTTTACTGTTAATTAGACATCTCTGTTAGCTGCTGTACTGTCTAGACAGGAACATCATGACGATATCATGGCATTCTATCAGTTTTACCTGGTGTGAAGATGACAACCTTGGCCCTCCTTCAGTGCAGAAATGGTGCCAAAGCTGGAAGAGCACCGTAGTGCTGCAGCTCAGTCAATCAATAATCCATGGTTTGGTGACATTCACTAAAACAAATCAGTCCCAAACACAATTCTAGGGAATGATCAAGAAGCTACCAAGTGTTTAGGATGAAGGAGCCCAGTTTCACAGCCCGGTGAGGGTTGTGAACGCAAAGGTACCCGGGCTCTCCTCAGTGCCCTGGGTAAGTCTTGATACCATCTTTAGTATTAAGTCAAAATATATTGGGGAAGTGCAGGGTTTCCTTGGCTCACCTGGAGGAAAATTAAAATGATGTTCTGTCCCCTGAGAAGCGACAATGAATGAACCTGATCTCATAGGCCTGGAGGATCAGTATCAGATTGCTCTGATTTTCCTTTGAACTGTTGGAGTAACTAGTATGAGGTGTCGCTGAAACGGTGGTTTATGATTTCTTACTTCTGGAAACATCTGATAAACTCGTTAGTAATGTCACCAGATTTCTCCCAGAGCTTATTTAGGCGAGCAAAACAAACAGAAATCAGGAGAGCAAATCTGCGGTACAGATGATGAGCCCTGGGTCTTGTCCACGCTGCCTTTTTTACACCCCTGTAGTTGTGCAGGGAAAGTCTTCCACTAAGGACCCRACAGCAACACACATTTTCCAGCCAATATATTATACCGGCCCACCAAATACAAGCCCCTTTCAGAACACTTCTCAGACTGGAGGCGGGTTTGGCGACATGTTAATAATATTGGGAAGGGGTGTAGGCTCTCTGCCTACAGGACAGTTTACCAAAAGAATGGTGAGTTACATCTAACATCAAATCGCAGCTGTACATGTTATAAGCAGAAAAGAGGAGCACAGATGGAAGCAGCTCAGTGCAGAAAACTTAACTGGGGAAAAAAATCATGCTTGGAGATATGCTCCAATATATGTTCAGAGCTTATAGTTACCTGTATGTTTACCTCTATTTTTGCTTACGCTCACTGTACCCAAAACAAAATGTGGCCTTTGTTACGCYCCTCGTAACCTCGGACGGACAAAGGCAGAGAGRGAGACCCAAGTAAGCGAGATATTTTTATTACCAGCTAGCTGGGGTCCAAGGCTYACCCTAGAAGGGGGTCTTGCCAGGGACCCCAAGGCATCTGCACGAGAGGTTTTTATACATTTTAAAGTAGGGATATAAAATCATTAACCCCCCCCCTTATGCTGTTTTGTCCTTTCGGGATTGGCTGTTCTTTGTTCCAACACCTGCTTCTTTATCTTACTCTTTGAATTTTTTTCCCAAACTGTCCAAGTGTGGGGGTATCCTTTATGAAGTCCTTGATGTATGTTATCGAGGCTCCAAACTGCTCAAGTGTGATTTTTGTTATCTGTCCAAGTGTGGGTGGATGATTTAGGGGTGTCCTTGATGCATGTTATCGATGCTCATGATTTAGGATCTTCCAATTAGCCCAAGTGTGGGTGGTTTGTCCTTCAACCTTAAATAAAACTTAGAAGTTGTTAATGAAGTGACCCTAGAAAGCAGGGGAAGAGAAAAGAAAAAAAAAAAAAAAAGTTGCCCAAACCAGAATTCTAAGCATTAATTTCTGTCTGGAGCAAATAAATGGATACATCATATAAAAACTTCTCTGGATACAACCAGCACTTGAGAATTAGAAAGGATGTTGGCAAATGGGAGAGCTTATGCAACATTAGTTATTAGGCAGTGATGAGGGGTGCCATAAATATTCTTTAACTAAAAGCCAGGAAAAAAAAAAAAAGAGCAATATTCTCCTCCTAATGGCCTGCACTATGTAATCTGGTAGCTAAAGCAAAAGCCTGTTGGATTCCTATGGCCTTAAGTAGTAGAGTTCCTTTAGGAAAAAAAMCCACAATTGCAAAACAGAGTTTTGCCTCTATATTGTTTGAAGGCATCTCTTGTTTTGTTTTGTTTTGTTTTCCAAAAGGAAAAAGAAAAGCCTGGCTTTGCTGTCCTGCAGGAGCCGCGGCCTGGCGCCGCCGGCTTTGCCCAAGCAGGTACGGCAGCTCCGGGGCCTCGCGCACCGCCCCACGGCAGCCCCTGCGGAGCCAACCCCGCGCTCCAGAGCAGGGGCTTCAGAGACCTTTGGAGGGAGGTGTTAACATTTCAGCAAAACCACCCTTGACGATTAGACCAGGTAAAGCCCTCCTAGGAGTTTTCTGCACATAACATTTTTCTTTCTTGATTGAACTTTCACAGTGTCCTGCTTTCAGTAGGCCTTGCCCCGTGTTCACCAAGTGCTGACTCAAGAAAAGTAGGAAACTTGGGGAGTTTTGCTTTAATACTGACTGAGAGACTGTTTGCTGTTAGAATGACAGTTTCTCCATTTGAGAACAGCTTGTATTTAAGTTTCTCATTAGGGCACTCTTAAATGGGACAATAAAACCATATACTTAATAGCACAGGCTAAGGTGTAGGTGACACAATAGCAGTAGCAGGCAGATACAGAAGGTCTCCGACCCATGCTCTCAACTGGCAACTTCCCAGAATGACGAGTTACACACCTAGCTTTCAACTTCAGCAGCACACACATCTTATTGTAGCTAACTTGAAAAATACTTTTTTTTTTTTTTTTTTTTTTTTAAATCTGTATTGGAAAGCGCCCTTCCCAACTCCAAACAAAATACGACAGAAATTGAATCTTCATGACAGGTTCTGCTAGCAGATGAGCAGCTCCTACAGTTCTTCTGGTACTCCCATCTCCAAAAGCCATGGCCTCACTGCTTGGGCTTTAAAGACCACTTAAGGAACCATACCGTAAAATCCAGAGGCCCGTACACTCACTAGATCTCCTAATGTCACCACTGTCTAATGCTGGAGCTCCTCTTCTCATCATTAGGACTTCTCTTTTGGCAGGACCACAGTCTCCTCTCTATTTTAGCACAGACTATATACCATTTTCTGCACATTTCTGCAAAAAATCTTTTTCCCCTATGACTAGTCCTCCCTCCCTCCTCTCCTTAGGAAGGGTCTCCGTAGCCCACACATGACCCATGGCACATGCACATCCCGCACACCTGGACATCATGCCACGTCTGAGCTGGACGTCTGTGTCTGAGCGGTCACAGCCGGAGGAGGCAACAGCTCCTCTCCAGGCTGCTGCCGTGGGGGCGTCCCTCCTCAGCAGGGTTCTGCTAGCGCAGGTTTCTGTAACAGAGGTTGTCCCTTTCACGTACCTGGTTGACCAAACTATGTTGACAGAAGTTTGCAAAGGCAAAACACTGACTCCCTTGTTCCTGAGAACACGGTGTTGAGCGGCAATGGGAATTTTGGATATTCATGCTTCCGATGCCGCTGTCTGCTCATTCCAGCCCTGTGCCCTGCTGCTCCTCGGCTTCCCCAGTTGTTCTAGTTCCTTCTAGAGCTGCCTTTTTCTATCTTTTTTTTTTTTTTCCTTCTCCTTTTCTGGCTAATTTTTAACCTCTATCAGTTCCCAGATCTGGTTCATAGGGCAATCCCGCAAAAGAGGAGCGAGTGCAAGGGAGGGAGCAGAGGAGGGAATGCTTCAAAGTCACGTTGTTGCCAAACACTTTGTCCTGTAGAGAGGTCTCCAGTGTTCTTTTTATGGAGGAATTGGCTGTTACCAAAACGCACATCCCACTTGCAAGCTGCAACGCTTGCGCTGGGGAGTTTACTGGTCTGAGGGCAGAGACCARCTCTTTATTGTCTGCATGTCTGTACATGCTGGGCATTCTGCCTAGGTTTCTACAGAGTTAATAAATCGTAATTTGAATACAATTATGTGACTTAAATAGCTGAAAAAAGCCCCCAAAATTCTGAAGGCTGGAGCTTATAAACCAAGGTGCGAGCTAAAGGACTGCCTTCGAGTCACTTGTTCTGCCAGTACAACCATGCTGAAGTGCTTTTTAAGCGGTAAGATTGATCACTTGAACTGCGACTGTTATGAGTCACAGTTACTCAGCTGTGATGAGGTCCTGACAACAACGAAAACAGAGCTGGCTCTGATCCACGAAGCCTGGCAGCAAGGAGCACAGGCAATAAAACACCTGCACAGAGAAACAGCTTTAAAAAAGAAAACACAACACCCGGCCTTATCGGTTCTAAAGCAAAGCTTCATCTAGCATGTTGATTARTGTTTTTCCTGACTGATGCCATATATTCCAGCTAACAGTAATGATGGGTGTCTATAGTAACACTGAATTGACTTCAGCAAAGTTATTCCTGTTATAGGCATCAGAATGAAATAGCCATAGAGAAATGTTTACATAGAGTAATGTAGAGCAGGACTTTGCAAGCATTGAACACCTCAGGCTGACTCTGTGTGGTGCTTATGATGAAATACTTACCTTAGAGTACGGCAGAATGGCAGTAGGGAGCCTACCCGGTACCCTGTGACTCACGGGGCCTATAGAGGGGCTTGCTGGCCTCTGCTCAGCGCGCTGCTGCGCTGCTGCACCTTCCCCAGGTTACTCTGCCTCCCAGACACACGTTCGTTCAGTGCCATCAAGTACAAAGGCCTTCATGCCAAGCAGCTCTGCTCGGCTTTCAGTGCTGACGCCTCTCACTTGGCGGGCGATTCGGCTGCGCAGTGTGGGTGGCCCTGCAGACCCTGCTGCCTCCTGCCTCCGAGCGCCCCTAGGGCTGCCTTAGCTCTTCCCATCCCAGGTGTGTCCCACACTTGGCAGCCCATTYGGAGGTGATCGGATGTGCCATCTGGGAGCAGACATCAGGCAGTCAGGACAAGTCCCTGGAGTTCTTCTTTTCTTTCCCRGATGAGACCCAAGGTTGTTTTTTCAGAAGACCAAGTTTTGCACAAATTCCTCGGGTTAATTCAGGTCAGTTCTGGCTGTCTTCAGTCCTAGAGAGGAACAGTGGGTGCGATGCTGGTGGCTTTCGGCAGATCTTCTGGACGTGAGTGTWGCAGGGTCCCGAGGCTCGGCCAGGGCCCTGTCCCGCAGCGGCACCAGGGCCGCCTACTTGGTAGGCACAGCCGCTCAGGGAACCGGCTCCCACCCACGCACGAAAGGAACCACYGTCTCCCACACCCTTCCCGATCCTCCCGCGCTGCTCACTGTGTGCCGGCGGGCAGCACGTGGCCCCGATCCAGGTTACGGCTAACAGCCCATTATGGCTCATATTTAATTGATTGCTGGTTTCCTSTGCTAGCAGACACCTGGGTGAACACTGTGCTTGACTCTCCCGTCTGCCGTGTTTCTTCCTGTTGTGCTCTATGTGCTTCATCCTCGCCTCYGACTTGCTGACATTATCGCTGCCCTAGAATATGGCTCCATATCCAGAGCCCCAGTTCTCTACGCACTGCCCTAGGAAGGCAGAAGGACGTCACCGTGGTAGTGACCAGCCCGTGGTCCTGAGCAGCCCCGKGCTGGGGCTGACCCTGCAGCCGGCAGCGCTGCGTGAGTGCCAGGAGCGCAGGCTAAGCACAACTGCCGGCTCCAGGAAAGGGAAACAGTGGGAACGGGCCAGCCCAACCATCCTGGCACGGAGCTGTAGGACCCTGGGCAATTACTGCTGTTTCCAACCTGTGACCTGTTTCCAGGGCTCCTTCCACGCTAAATGATGTGCAACCTCTGGGCCTTGTGCACATGAGGATTGTGGTGGCTGTAAACCTCTTACATAAAAGGAGCAGCAATGTGAAGCTCTACTCACAGATCCCAGCTTTTCGCTCCTAGTCCCACCTTGCTACTTTAGATGCAAGGTTGTTTTTCCATCTTAAGGACAACGAAAGGTTGTTTTTCCATCTTAAGCATCATCCTCCACTGTGAATCTTTCCATATTTGCAGTAGAACCTGCTGTCCTCGGCCATCTCCTTCCTCCAGACACAGTCCCTAGGCAAATTACTAGCCTGCATATCTGTGTCTGCGTTGTAAGAAAACATTTCTAGCGGAGCATCCCATCACACCCGCTAAACCTGCCATTTTGCCTGCAGTCTGCTCTGAGCAGAGCACGTGGTGAGCAGAACACCACGTTTCCAGCTTCAGGAGTTTTCAGAGCTGCCTGTGCCACGGGCAGCGACGGGGCGCCCGTGAGGTGACGCCTGGGCTGCAGCGCCCTGCAAGCTGGCGGGAGAACGGCTGGGAAGGCCTCACGGGCCTCACAGGGCGCCCTCTGGGCGCTGGTGGTCGSGGGCTGGCAAGGGTGACCCCGCAGGCAGCCCCCAGCCCGGCGCAGGGGCTCGGGGTGCCCGGGGGGAGCAGAGCACAGGGCACCGGTGACAGCGCTGACCCATGCAGCCTGGCCTGGCGTGCGTGGCCTGGCCCACTTGCTCCCCACTGAGCCCGGCTCCTCTGCCCTGTGSGTCTGAGCTGGGGGTTGGGAGGCACCTGGCAGGACTGGGTTTCTCCTGGCAGYGTGTGCCACGGACTGGACTCAGCTCCCTGCCCCGAGCGCAGGGCCCAGCTGCCCAGGAGGAGCTGTTGGTTGCCTCTCATCGTGTGTGAAGCAGATGGGGGTGCCCGCACAGCCGAGGTGAGGGGGTCTCTATCCGCATCACCCTGCTGGCTACACGAATGTGCGAGTGGTCAAAGCAGCTCCCCTTGCAGCTGCCAACGCCAGCTGAAGCTGGAGATGAAGCCAGGGGAAGTGCCCAAGTAACAGCGCTTGGGAACTGCGGTCACCTTCCTATAGACTCAGCAAAGTAAGAAACTGAGTAGCATTTTTTCAGCTATTTAGCTCATTCTCTTTCCTTTATGTAGACCTCTGTTATGGATGTCCAGGCTTCTTCTGCCTRGTGTTCAGCTGTGGGTTTCAAGAAGCTGCTCACATGTCTCTGTGAATCTTGCAGCAGCCGACGTTCTATGCTAATATCAGTGTAAATTACTAAGGAATGAAGAAGGACCTTGGCAGGAGGAGATATTCTTGTGGATTAGGAAAACAAAGGAGCACCATTAGATTTGCATTTAGTTGGGCTCTTATCTTTCCAAGGTACTGTCTAATGTCTTGGCATTCTTATCAAGTACAGGAGGTACACTCTTCTGTTTCAGTTAGCTCTTGTGGGCTTAGCTTCTTAGTGGCTGAAAATTCTTAGTCTTAAATGGAAGATGATAGTAAAGGACAAAGTGATAAACTAAAATGTATAGGTTCTGATTCCTTGGAGGTCAGTGTGTTCAGGGCACAGYGATTCTAGTTGTCTAGACTTTCTAGCATTACTTGGAAATATCACATAACGTGGAACATTCAACAAACAACTCCAATGTGAAGCTCCTACATTTGGTGTCTTGAATCCCAACATCTAGAATSAATCAGAAAAAGTAAGTGGCATGAATTACCACTGATTTTATCAAGCATGTTCCCACAGAAAAGTGGAGAAGAATCTCTCCCATAGGCAGATTTAAAAAAAAAAAAAAATTTAATGGGAGATTCCCAATTTAAGGGACTCTTCTAGCAGACTCAGAGAGGAGTCTTACACAAGGCAGGAAGCTCTTATCAACTCCTACTGTGGCTGCATCGCAACTGTATTTTCCAAGCTGAAAGTACAAATTTAGCCACAAGAGGGAGGCAGGAGAACTCATATAGGTGCTGGTGCCATAACCTCGACTGAAAACAAAGCAAAAATACGTGTTTTAAACTTTCSTCTTTGAGCTAWAATGACTCAATAGCACCCTTATTGACAGCAATGACTGTTGACTGACTCCTGCAAAAGGATATTCATAATGCATAATAAATGTGAAATGATTAAAAACTCTGAGAACAGATAAGTAGTACAACTTTTGATTAAACCTAAAAGATAAGAAATTATTTCATGACAAGCCAAAACAGACTTTACGAACATAAATTTTCGCTAAGTCCTTGCACAGGACCAATTCTTACTACCCTCTATTTCGAGTCACTGTAGGCCACAGCTGTAAAAGCAGCTGCTGCTGAAGAAGCTAGAGAAGGAGCTTCAGCAGAGTTGGTGTTTCTCACTGTGCAGCCTGAGTCTGCGAGAGGCCAGCACGGAGAGCTGTGGGCTACTGCCATGCGGGGAGAAGTCATGAACATGGCAAATTTGGGTTGGTTTTGACTTTCAACCAGGGACATTATACGTTGAAATAGTCAACTCTCATACCTAATTCTGAAATGTGGGTCCCAGGTGATATTCAGTGACTCATACTGGGGCCAAATTCTGCATGGATTTAYAGTCTCTGAAAAGCAGTGAAAATTATTTTTCCCTGGATTTGCCCTATGGAGCTGGTCAGTAGTCCAGAAAAAAATGGGCACTTTTAGTTCCAGGTGCTTCCCAGCAACCACTASAGCAACAGCCCCTCAGCCTGCAGTGAAGCTGTTGAGGGTGAACATGAAGCTCCACGTGTGAAAATCTGCAATTCACTTCTGTAGTGGGACACATACCACAAACCCATARCTTACCATGGAGAAGCATCACATTCAAATTA